TAAGTTTCAGAACATGCAACTCAGTACTAAGTAAAAACAAAAATGTCATTTATTAGGTTATGTAATAAAGATGCATTTGTAAAATAAAAATTGTGTAACAGAGAATTCACAGATCTATTATTAAGCAAGAGGCAGATTTCAAATAAAAATCAATTGTATCAATAACACTTAAAGCAGATGTATAAATAAATTCATATGTATAAGGTAAAAAAGATTGTAAATATAAACAAATTAAAAATATTCTGTACAACTGAATACGCAATCAGAAAATATACAGCTTGAAATCAACCTGTAAACTATTATGTATTACTATTATTGAAATTCCTTGCAAACTGTACATATCATTTACAGGATATAATAGCATCTTACTGAATAAATTTGTCTTCATTCTTCATATGATCAAGTTATTATAAATTATAGAATAAACCTAAATGTCACATTCTGTATATTTTGTACTTCAATGAGCATTTAAAAACAGCAATGCCAGGCAATACCACGAAATGTAAATATTGAAACATTGAAAAGTAGCTACTGCAAGGAAACAGGAGTCCATGCAAAAAAGTATAACAGAAATACTGAACTCCCAACAAAAATCCAACTAGGAGTCTGTGTACCTCACCTATATCTACTGTGTTTTTGGAAATCATGTGAAATAAGGTTAAAATCATAATTAATAGTATTAGATACCCTAATAATGATTGAGGCCAAGTTTGGTTTAATTTGGCCCAGAAATTAAATTAAAAGCAGGTCATTCCATTGTAGTCTTACAATATTTACTGAATACCCTGGCATTAAACCAACATGGCTGCCATGGCTAATAATAGAACATAAAGGGTTAACTATAGAAGTCTAAGGGAAAATTGTAAAAAAACAAAATTCAAATGGTCACAACTTGAAAATTAATTTTGATAATGATACATTTTTCAATCAAGATACCATTGAAAATTGTGGCAAAGTTTGTAGATTTTTTTTTTAATCATACAAAATTTATGAAAAATTTACTATAAAGAGCAATAACTACTTAAGGGGTCAATTGACAATTTTGCTCATATTGACTTATTTGTAGATCACACTTTGCTGAGTATTGCATGGCATTACAAAGTCCCCTACCGGTTAAAAATTAATTGTACTTGAACAAAATGCTAACTTGGTCTATAGTGTTAACTTTATAAACTAGAGGCTCTAAAGAGCCTGTGTCGCTCACCTTGGTCTATGTGCATATTAAACAAAGGACACAGATGGATTCATGACAAAATTGTGTTTTGGTGATGGTGATGTGTTTGTAAATCTTACTTTACTGAACATTCTTGCTGCTTACAATTATCTCTATCTATAATGAACTTGGCCCAGTGGTTACAGTGGAAAATATTTTGTAAAAATTTACAAAAATTTACAAAATTTATGAAAATTGTAAAAAAATTTACTATAAAAGGCAATAACTCCTTAAGAGTTCAATTGACAATTTTGGTCATGTTGACTTATTTGTAGATCTTACTTTGCTGTACATTATTGCTGTTTACTGTTTATCTCTATCTATAATAATATTCAAGATAATAACCAAAAGCTGCAAAATTTTCTTAAAATCACCAATTCAGGGGCAGCAACCCAACAACGTGTTGCCTGATCGGTCTGAAAATTTCAGGGCAGATAGATCTTGACCAAATGAACAATTTTATCCTCGTCAGATTTGCTCTAAATGCTTTGGTTTCAGAGATATGAGCCAAAAACTGCATTTTACCCTATTTACTATTTTTTAGCCATGTCAGCCATCTTGGTTCGCGGGCGCGGTCATCGTACACATTTTTTAAACTAGATACCCTAATGATGATTGTGGACAAGTTTGGTAAAATTTGTCTTCGTAGTTTCAGAGAAGATTTTTGTAAAAGATTACAAAAATTTACGAAAATGGTTAAAAATTGACTATAAAGGGCAATAACTCCTTAAGGGGTGAACTGACCATTTTGGTCATGTTGACTTATTTGTAGATCTTACTTTGCTGAACACTATTGCTGTTTACAGTTTATCTCTATCTATAATAATATTCAAGATAATAACCAAAAACGGCAAAATTTCCTTAAAATGACCAATTCAGGGGCAGCAACCCAACAACGGGTTGTCCGATTAATCTGAAAATTTCAGGGCAGATAGATCTTGACCTGATAAACAATTTTACCCCCATGTCAGCTTTGCTCTAAATGCTTTGGTTTCAGAGGTATAAGCCAAAATCTACATTTTACCCCTATGTTCTATTTTTAGCCATGGCGGCCATCTTGGTTGGTTGGCCGGGTCACCGGACACATTTTTTAAACTAAATACCCCAATGATGATTGTGGCCAAGTTTGGTTAAATTTGGCCAAGTAGTTTCAGAGGAGAAGATTTTTGTAAAGTTAACGGACGACAGACCCCAAGTGATGAGAAAAGCTCACTTGGCCCTTTGGGCCAGGTGAGCTAAAAATATCAATTCAATATCTTCAAGCATGACAAAGAAAATGTAGAAAACTGATTATTTAAGTGAATTTTATAAATCCAAGGACCATAACTCTGTAAAAAATCATCAGCCTGAAACAAAATTTGAACATTGTCTGTAACTTTTAATGATAAAACTTTATACCAATTATCAAATCAATATCTTCAATCATGACAAAAAAAGTGTGGAAAACTGTTCATTTGAGTGAAGTCAAAGGACCATAACTCTGCACAAAATCATCAGACCAGAACATAATTTAAACTTGATCTGTAACTTATCATGATAAAACAATACACCAAATTTCAAATCAATATCACTCAATATTTGAATGATGAACATTTTGACCAATGTCAGATTTGCTCTAAATGCTTTAGTTTCAGAGATACTAGAAAATAACAGTGAAATATACTTTGGTTCATAATTTGAAGATATATAGTTTTGGTGTAAAGTGATATTAAGATCTTAAATCTTTTTGAAGCGTGTCACAGACGAAATACCACCACTCAATATGACACCCAAAACTAGAGGCTCTCAAGAGCCTGTGTTGCTCACCTGACTCTACTTTTGTTTTAGAAATCATGTAAAGATAGATAAAAATCATAACAGATACCCAAGTAATGATTGAGGCCAAATTCAGTTTAATATTGGTCCCATCATTTAATCAAATATCCTAGTGGCCATCTTGAACAGTAAATCGGCAACAAAGTAGCAACACTTGGTCAGCACCTCATAAGGAACATTCATGCCATGTTTGGTTTCATTCCATTCAGTGGTACTCTAAAAGAAGACATTTGTATGTATTTTCAATAGGGTCCTATGTTAAACTAAGTCCCCCCATGGCAGCCATCTTGAATGATGGATCAGCTGCAAAGTAACAACACTTGGTCAGCACCTAATAAGAAACATTCATGCCATATTTGGTTCCAGAAGTCAGAAGTCCCCCCCCCCCCCCCCTTGTGGCCTTCTTGGATGATGGACCAACTGCAAAGTAACAACACTTGGTCAGCACCTCATAAGGAAGATTCATGCCATGTTTGGTTTCATTCCATTCGGTGGTTCTCTAAAAGAAGACATTTGTATGTATTTCCCATAAGGTCCTATGTTAAACTAAGTCCCCAACTGGCGGCCATCTTGGATGATGGATCGGCTGCAAAGAAACAACACTTGGTCAACACCTCAGAAGGAACATCCATGCCATGATTAGTTCCATTCCATTCAGGGATTCTCTAAAAGAAGACATTTGTATGTATTTACCATAGGGTCCTATGTTGAACTAAATCCCCTGTTGGCGGCCATCTTGGATGATGGATTGACTGCAAAGTAACAACACTTGGTCAACACCTCATAAGGAACATTCATGCCATGTTTGGTTTCATTCCATTCAGTGGTTCTCTAAAAGACGACATTTGTATGTATTTCCCATAGGGTCCTATGTTAAACTAAGTCACCCACTGGCGGCTATCTTGGATGATGGATCGGCTGCAAAGTAACAACACTTGGTCAGCACCTCATAAGGAACATTCATGCCATGTTTTGTTTCAGTCCATTCAGTGGTTCTGTAAAAAAAGACATTTGTATGTATTTCCCATAGGGTCCTATGTTAAACTAAGTCCCCCGCTGGTGGCCATCTTGGATGATGGACCGACTGCAAAGTAGCAACTCTTGGTCAGCACCTTATAAGGAACATTCATGCCATTTTTGGTTTCATTCTATTCACTGGTTCTCTAGAAGAAGTTCAAAATGGAAAAAGTTTACGACGATGGATGACGGACGCCAAGTGATGAGAAAAGCTCACTTGGCTCTTTGGGCCAGGTGAGCTAAAAAGTAGTCTTCCTGACAAACTATTGGCGTTTGTGATCTAATCATTGGATATGTCATTGTTATACCCTGGATGCATTGCACTGATCAAAATAATATGTGTTTATAAATACCTTTAACTAGTGACATATAGAGTGAAAACTGACTGGGATTTTTTACAAAAAATATCGTGACCCTGATTTTGTTAAAAAAAAATATCTGTCTAGCACTTCTAGCAGTTTTGCCAATCCCCAAAAAAATTTTGGAAATACATTTTGTGTACTGATATGTAATTATAGGTCAAAGTAATAGTCAAAATATATTTGACTGTTCCAAAACGTTTGGACTATATATAATTAGGTTACAATTGTTATGCATACATATATGAATAGGCCAGATTTATGGTCTTGGGCAATGTATATGAATGGGGGTGTTTTTTAAATTCCAGTGGCACACCTGTACCCTTTTTTTTTTCGAAGTCGCCCCTGCATGCACAGCCTGCCGGTTGTGAAGAATCATGTGTTTGGGTGCTTAAAAATGGTTAAAATTGAGTTAAAATATATCATACATGCAAGATGTTGATTGTATTTTTCGTAAATGAATATCCATATTTGTGCTGGTAAACATCATATGGTCTGGGGTTGAAAGTCTGTTATAAGAGACGGGTCATTATTTATCTGCAGGGGGGCCGGCAACTTATTTTGAAAGTCCAGAAAAAATTCAATGACCACCCCCCCCCCCCCCTTTCCATTTCTGCAGAAAAATGTTTTATTGCTATCAAGCTTATAATGTTTTAAAAAATAGTAAATAAATACTACAGTTTTCAGTTTGGATTAAATACAGATTGTCACCTTTAAAAATTTCTATATGAGTGGGCTGAAAAATTTTATGCATTATACATCAATGGGGGTGTGTAACATTCCAGCCGCACTTCGGTACCCATTCTTAACCAAAAACTGAAGTAATCCCCCTACCCTTTTCATGTTGAATTGATGCAGTTCCCCGGAAGGAAACGCTCTTGACGTGTAAAAATCTGTTGTTAAATTGCTGAGAGCGTTAAGGGAATGTGTATCACAAAGTGTTTCAGTGTAAGGTCAATATTTACCGTATCTGCTACGAAATAAAATTTAATTTTGCCAGGCAGACGTGCAATGACAGAAATGATGATGGCACATGAATTTCAGAAAATTTAATATAAAGTGCAATAACTCCTTAAGAGTTCAATTGACAATTTTGGTCATGATGACTTATTTGTAGACCTAACTTTGAACATTGCTGCTCTTTACAGTTTATTTCTATCTATAATAATATTCAATATAATAAACTAAAAACTGCAAAGTTTCCTTAAAATTACTAATTCAGGGGCAGCAACCCAACAACAGGTTGTCTGTTTTGTCTGAAAATTTCTTGGCAGACAGATCTTAACCTGATAAACATTACCCCATGTCAGATTTGCTCTAAATACTTTAGTTTCAGAGATATAAAACAACTAGGAGTGTCGTTCCCTGATATTTTTGTTTATAACTGATGCATGAAATAATGCAACCATTTGCTTTTGTTTCAGAGATATAAGCAAACAAGAATGTGTCCATAGTACACGGATGCCCCACTCGCTTTATCATTTTACTATGTTAAGTGGACCGTAAAAATGTGGGTCAAAACTCTATTTTGGCATTAAAATTAGAAAGATCATATCATAGGAAATATGTGTATATGTGTATTAAGTTTCAAGTTGATTGAACTTCAACTTCATCAAAAGCTACCAAAATCTTTAACCTGAAGTGGGACAGACGAACGAACAGACGAAAGAATAAACGAACGAACAAACAAAAGAACGCACAGACCAAAAAAAACATAATGCCTATAAATGGGGCATAAAAACTGCATTTTACCCCTATATTCTTTTTTAAGCCATGTCGACCAAGTTGGTTGGCAGGCAGAATCATCGGACACATTTTATAAACTAGATACCGTAATGATGATTGTGGTCAAGTTAGGTTATATATGTCTCAGTAGTTTCAGAGGAGTAGATTTTTGTAAACAATTACAAAACTTTACACAACAAGAATGTGTCTATAGTACAAGGATGCCCAATGGCACTTTCATTTTCTATGAATTCCCATTGAAATTGGTCAAGAAATAACAATTTATACAACACATATTAGAAAAGTATTGTTTTTGGCCCCTAATTCCTTAACATTAAGGACCATAACCTCCAAAAGCAACCCTTACCTTCTTTTTTTAATATAGAACCTACTGGTAGAACTTTATAAAGATCCTTAGACTTATACTCAAGTTATTGTCCAGAAACCAGAAAATCCTTGTTTTTGCCCTCTTGTTTCTAAACAGTTTGGGCCATAACCCCCAAAATATTCCCAACCTTGTGACACAATTACATAAAGATCCTTTAATACACAAGTTATTGTCCTGAAACATGAAAATTACTTGTTTTTTGGCCCATAATTCTTAAACAGTTAAGACAGAAACCAAATGTCATTGGACAACAACATCGACATACCATATATGGTCTTATAAAAATCAATATTTAGAAGTTTGGGTCCAGTTCTCAAAGATAACAGCTCAGAAACAATTAAAAAATCGAAAAATGTTTTTAGTACAATTAAGATGCAAAAGATAATACAGAACAAATTAAATAAAAATTTGACAAAATGAATGTTCAACATCATGAACAATGATATTAACACTTATATTGTTTTCTAATTCATTATTTCAGTATTTGTTTTATGTCAGTGAACTACCTTTTGCTCTGTCATTAATTATAAGGAACTAATAATTAACTCTGCAAAACAATACATTCTTGTGAGTGTTCAAGTCAATCTAATTACATACTTACACAAGGTAATAACTATGAAAATTATGTTTTTCAACACATCCTAGCCAAATGAGTATATATATTTACTGGTCTCTGTCTTCTTTTTTCATTATGTCATAAGACTAAGAGTACTTGATGTAAGATGTCTTTCCTTTTAGATCTTTGTTTTTTGTCAAAGCTTCATACTGTTCTGGATTCATACAAAACATAATCTAAAATTATATCACATTTCTTGTATTAAGTAAATTTTTTAATCATGTGTTAAAAGACTGTTATGAGTTGTTGAAAGAGAGGAAAAGATACCAAAGATACACATATATATTTATATATTTTTCTAATTCTTACTTGATTTATCCCTTTCCTGACCAGTTGATTATTTAAGAAATAATTCATGGCAGCTGTAGATTTGTTTTCATTTAACCATGGGTTGGGCATTTATATTCCATTATTTTACCCTGAGCGTTAGCGAGGGGTAAAATACGAATATAAATGCCCAACCTATGGTAAAATGAAAACAAATCTACCGCTGCCATGAATTATTTCGATTCTAATAGGACAAATTCGGTAATTTTGTTAACCCTGAAAGCCCTATACATACGATACTGTTTTGGCTGTTCCGTTTTACGCAATTTTGATAATATTAGTAAAATTATATAATTCAGTGATTATTGTTCACTTATATATTTTCTTCCAATGTAATTTTATTCGTTCTGAGGCATACAAGAAGCTTTAAAAGGCCCATTGGTGGCCATCTTGGATGATGGATCGGCTGCAAAGTAACAACACTAGGTCAGCACCTCATAAGGAATGTTCTTGCCATGTTTGGTTTTATTCCATTCAGTTTAATATTGGCCCTGTAAATTAATAAACAAATCCTGGTGGCCATCTTGAACAGTAAATGGGCAAAAAAGTAGCAAAACTTCATCAGCTCCTCATAAGGAATATTTATGCGATATTTGGTTTCATTCCATTCAGAGTTTCTCTAAAATAAGACATTTGTATGTATTTACCTCAGGGTCCTATGTTAAACTAAGTCCCCTGCTGGCGGCCATCTTAGACAATAGATTGGCTTCAAAGTAACAACACTTGGTCAGTACCTCATGAGAAACATTCATGCCATGTTTGGTTTCATTCCATTCAGTGGTTTTCTAAAAGAAGACATTTGTATATATTTCCCATAGGGTTCTATTTTAAACTAAGTCCCCCGGTAGCTGCCATCTTGGATGATGGATGGGCTTCAAAGTAACAACACTTGGTCAGCACCTTATAAGGAACATTCATGCCATGTTTGGTTTCATTCCATTTAGTGGTTCTATAAAAAAAAATTGTATGTATTACCCATAGGTTCCTATGTTAAACTAAGTCCCCCGCTGGGGGCCATCTTGGATAATGGATCGACTTCAAAGTAACAACTCTTGGTCAGCACCCCTAATTCCTAAACTGTTAGGACCATAAACCCCCAAAACCAATCCCAACCTTCCTTTTGTGGTTATAAACCTTGTGTATAAATTTCATAGATTTCTAATTACTTATACTAAAGTTATTGTCTGGAAACCAAATGTCTTCGGACGACAAAGACGACATGATACAAATATTTTGTGGTCGTATAAAAAAGTGTGTAAAACACTTTTGCCGGACTGAAGGATGGACAGACAGATAGACGGATGGAGTGCAATCCTAAAGTTCCCTTTGACTTTGTCAGTAGGGGACTAATAAAAAGTTATCAAAGGTACCAGGATTATAATTTAATACGCCAGACGCGTAATCTTTTCACATCAGATTATAATTGTTTTCTGCATGAACATTCTTACATGCATGTGTACTACTGTATTCATTCAAATTAATAAAGACAATGAAAGAATTGATGCTTCTACAACATTTATGAACAGAAAGATTTGGGAATCCTCAGAGGCCCAGACCACAATTAATGATCCCGCTTTTTGTTGTCCACGAATACAGTTCCCTTTAATTTAAGTGTATTTTTTGGGGGTGGAAATGAAAGAAGAGAACATAAATAAATTTTTGGATGTTTTATTTTAACTGATTTTGATATGGAAAGAGTGATTTTTTAATGCGACAAAAAGAACTAATAGAGGAATTAATTGTGGTCTTTGGCCTAAGAGGTGCATTTTCGCAAATTTCAAATTTGTACTTTGACAACTTCTCAGAATGATTTTCTGGTATGAATTTGTCAAACTACATGATAATAAATGATTTCCACTTTAACCTGATAGAAATTTGGTAAAAAAGTCCCATTTTAGCTTATATAATCGAAATTTAGCTTTTTCACTTGTTTCAATATTTTCACAAAAGTACATGTAGCAGGCTTACTTTCTCTCTGACAGGTTCTTCTGATTTTCAATTTGTGTTTAATTTGTGTTTGTGGTATTTAATTTAGATGTTTTACTCATTTGTGAACTCTGAACACAAAGAAAATTAGATAAAAACATAAAAAGTGTGCATAATGAGTTGTTTTAATGGTTCAAGTCTAACAGTCTACGAAGCAAGTGAAATGTGATGTTATATGCTCATAGATTACCTTTATTTTCTTCTGCTGAATAGCTAGTGATTAAAATATTGGCCTTTAAAGGCTGAAATTTCATGCAGATTTAAAACAGTAAAGCGAATAAAAGAGGGACGAAAGATACCAGAGGGTCAGTCAAACTCATAGATCGAAAACAAACTGACAACGCCATGGCCAAAAATAAAAAGACAAACAGACAAATAATAGTACAGATGACACAACATAGAAAACTAAAGACTAAGCAACACAAACCCCACCAAAAACTGTGGGTGATCTCAGGTGCTCCGGAAGGGTAAGCAGATCCTGCTCCACATGTGGCACCCATCGTGTAATAAACTTTGCATCAGACCATACTGTCTACATATAAAGTTGAAAGCTACAGACTTGTTACATACAGGCTCATGTTTTATCATATCTAAGCAAAGATTGAGCAAAAAGAAGCATATTTCCAATTCCCATATCATTTATATGTTTTTTAATATGGAAGTATGTGAAACGGCCTAAATTGACAATTTGATTTTTAAGCTTGACATTGCTTAAGACCATGTCATCCTCATGTGTTATTTGATTTGAAACTTATGTTTCCATGAAAAGTACATTTATGATATATATGTGGAAGGTTTTTGTTTAACTTCACAACTCCAAAAAATTGTTGTCAGTGAAAAATATTACATTTCATATAAGGCCTCACTTCATTTAAAAACCTCTATTTTTTTGGCACAGGCTCATATAGAATAAGTGAAACTATGAGCTACTGCTCACCGTTTGTACTCCCGCCCAAATACTTGACAGTAAACAGGAAGTTTTTGAGTGATGAATCTTATAACGCACCATACTGTAAAGCTGACCTATACAAACCCTAAACAAAAATTTCAGACATCCTTGTAAAATGTAGTTCCTGAGAAAAATGTGACGAAACTTTTCAACTTGGATATCATGTGTAAAATGATGTATGTTTTCGGTAAACAGGAAATTGGTGAGTGATGAATCTGAAAACCCATCACAAGGTATACCTGACTCGTATAAACCCTGAAACCAAATTTCAGAAATCCTTGTAATTTAGTTCCTGAGAAAAATGTGACAGAAATTTTCAACTTGGATGTCATGTGTAAAATGTTGTAAGTTTTCGTTAAACAGGTAGTTGGTGAGTGATGAATCTGAAAACACATCACAGTATATCTGACTCATATAAACTCTGAAACCAAATTTCAATAATCCTTGTAATGTAGTTCCTGAGAAAGATGCAATGAAAATTATTCATCGGATGGATTGACAGACAGACAGACAGACAGACAGACAGTATACCCCCACTTTTTTTAAGGAGAAGGGTATAATGATAATTAAGTTTTGGCAATTTTTTTATAAGTCTGATACATACTGTATGCTATCTATAACTTTAAATAAATAATAGCTAATACATAGAGACATTAAAAAGTGCACTTTTTTTTTTTTTTTTTTAATCCAAAATTTGATAGTTAAAATTGTTCTATTTCAATAGCACAATTTATCAACCAAGTTCAGATATAAAAATGGCCACATTTTCTATAATTGATATCATATGGCTTTGAAACTATGTAAACCGTCTCATAATACACTAAGCTTACATCATTCCAAGTTTTATTGGAATTGGTAAAGTTTTTGACTTCTAATAGGCCCCAGACCACAATTAATGATCCCGCTTTTCATTGTCCACAAATATCATGAATATAGTTCCCTTAAACATGTTTAATCAAAGTGTATTATTTCTTTATTTTTTTCTTTCCCTTTCTCATACATTTCTTAGTTTGTATGGGGTGGAACTGATTTTGATATTGAAAGAGTGATTATGGCAGGTGTAAAAAGGTAATATTTACAGTTTTTGGAACATCTCTTAACCTGTTTATAGGTTGCATTTCTGTAAATATTGACAATGCAATTTCCCATAGGAACTCCTTTTACGGCTAAAACTATACCACTTTTACTATAAAGTTTTGAAAAAAATCATATCCTAGAATGGAAAGTTCATATGCACTACTATTTTTTTCAAAGGTCAAAATATAGAGCTGTGTGGCATATTTTCAACTTTATATGCCCCGAACTTCTAAGAGTTTAAACTAACACTAAATTTCTTAATTACCCTTACCTTAACTGTAGGATTACCACAGATTTCAATATAAACATTATGCATATGTATATTTACTGGTAACATTCCCAAGTTATGTCTCTATGAGATGAAACATAGAGATCATAACTGGGATCCAGTTTGTAAACAAAATTAATTATCTATGAATATTCTATATCTCCCCAAAAGAGGTGTGGTTTGAGAAACAGCTGTATTTACAAAGTGCAACCTAAAGGGTATGGATGTGTATTGGCTAAATTTTTAAGATTTTAACATGCAATTTTTCTGAAAGTTGGATATATTTTTGGACTTGTAGTGTACATTACACACACAAAGTACTTGACAAAAAAAGCAGGTGAATTTTTTTTAATGCAACAATCCATTATGAAGAACTAGTAGAGGAATTAATTGTGGTCTGTGGCCTGTAAGTGCATGATGTGCTTGGAAGGGTGTAAGTGCCATATTGCCAATGAAATTCTTGTCCAAGATTATTATGAATTTTTGTAAATGATAACGAAAATGATTAGAATGTGTATATTTTATATTTGTGTAAATGTACTGTACATGCTGTATAACCTCTGAAACATATCTTCCACTGTCATAACTACATGTACCATGACTACATGCTAAATTTCAATTATCATGATTATCCAGTACTTACTCTGGCTTCAAAAAGAAAATTTCAGTGAATTTCATGAACAAGTGTGTAAAGGCAGCCTCTTTCAAATTTTTTCTGTCTTCCTTTGGAACTCCATGACTGGGCATTGGATTGTTCAATTTTTCTAACATTTCTTTTTCCTCAGCAAGAAAGTCAAATGTGTCCTCAAATCATCAGCGCAACAATCTGAAAAGGAGGTAAACAGTTTTGAAATGACAGCTGTTAACTTGACTATTTCAGAAATGTAATTTGCATATATACATGTACATCATAAGTAGATGAAAATACATGTACTCACAAAACTGCATGTGATGTTGTATTTATTCAATATCAATTACATCATGTATATATTTTCAATCGGTTCAATGTAAACACTGATTTAATCATAAAAAGATTATTTCTTTCATTTGTCTTTATATCAGAATGCATGCTCTTATTACAATGTATTATTGCTATATCATGTATATAAACCTAGTTGCATTATTGGCATTAATAAAAACCTTTCAATAATTTCTGAATTCACAGTTTTTAATATAATACACACAATGTATGTATAAACATTTGGATTTGTTTAATTGGTGTAAAAGTTTTACGATACATGTACCAAAAAGATGGTGAAGTCATCCGAGTCCTCATAATCAGTCAGCATATAAAAGAACCCCAGTTGCATATATTCAGTTTTTGTTGAAATCTAACAAAGTGGAGTTTTGGACCCTATTTGAATTGAACCCATTTCAAAACTGGGCCAAAATTCAAAACTTTCAACATGTTCAATACACACATGATACATGTTTCACTTCTGCATATCGAAGAACCACAAGAACTCAAGTTGTATTGAAATCAAACAAAGTTTAATTTGGGACCCTAAATGTGGACCAATTTGAAAACTGGCCCTAAATCATCATTGTTAATACACATTTGGATTCAGCATATCAAAGAATCCCAAAAATTTAATTTATGTAGAAAATGAACAAAGCCTATAATTTTAACCTGAATTTTACCAACTAGAATAAACTGCTTCGCTGAGTGAAGCTGAATACGCCCGCAGAGGTCCAACCCTGAACAGTTGGGGCAAAAATGTACACAATATTCAAGCTTGATACAGGTCTGAATTTGGATTGTATTAAATATTTGACATATTACAGGTTTCTGAATAAATGTAGTGAAAGAACTTGAAATTGGTCATATGAATTGAATTTATATTCAATTAAAGATTTCTTGCTGTTGTGCAATACACCATACCTGCCAACCCTCCTGTTTTGAGCAGGAGACTCCCGCTCAAATGGCGAATTTCAGGAAATCTCCCGCTTGACAGTACTCTCCTGCTTTGGGATATTTTTACCTTGAATGACAAGTCAACATTTATTACGTTTTTGTCTCACTGATGAAGGTTGTTTTTAACCTGTAAATCACAGACCATGTGAAATTAAATGGCTTCACCTGACAGCTTGGGTGTCAAATATAGTACTAATTAACGATCATTAAAGACTTTTGCTTCAAGCAAAACACTTAAAAGAAATTTCGGGCTACTTCCCCTGTTTAATCCTGTTTTAAGTTACCCTTCTTAAAATAATGTGAATTGATAAAACAATATAAACTAAATACAAATTAAACAAAGAATCATAAAAGGATGGCAATTAAAAGATTTTGTATGCCTCAAGACAAAAAAAATAATTATATTTTAAAAATCACTTAAAAGATCTATACTTCTATTCATTGTTTATATTGAAATTTATACGATATGTATTGAATAAAAGTTGTGAAATAAATATGTGCACACAAAAATGCACCATCTGTGACTACATGAGTGCTCTCTTATAACAGAGCCTCAGAGATGTCTGGGGTGAAAGTTGTCCCGAAGGGATTCAAATATCAAAGTTGATGAAATAGGAAAGAAACAAACAACACACCTTCTGTAGGATATAACCATATTTAAAGAAACAAAGTATATCTATTAACTCTTATATGTGTTTCGTAGATTAATAAATAAACACGTCATATATTTCACTTGAAAATGTTGTTCGCGCAAAATCTCCCCCTCAGCTGTCATAGCTGAGAGGGAGATCTCCCTCTTTGAAGGTTTCAGAGGTTGGCAGGTAAGAATACACTGTGCTGTTGTGCAATACTTAGAAAATCTGTTGTCAGACTATAAACAAATAAAATTCAATTAATTCTCAGTCATTTTAGAAATTTATGAAAATGTAAAGGGAGCTTACATCAATAGATATAAACAATTCACCAAAGTTTCATGAGAATTGCATACAGCATTTTTGAGTTATTGTCTGAAAACTTGAAAATCCCCCCTTTTTAATGAATAAAACCCTGTAACTCAGAAATGTAAAATATAAAATTTATAAAATTCTAAACAATTCAACAAAGTTTCATACCAACTGCTGAAAGCATTTTAGATTTTTTGTCTGAAAACTGGAAATTATGAATAAAACCCTGTAACTCGGAAACGTAAAATCGAAAATATATAAAAATCGAAAGGGAGCTCATGTCAATAGATATAAACAATTCACCACAATTTCTTGCAAGTTGGTGAAAGCATTCTTGAGTTATTGTCTGAAAACTGGAAAATCCCCCTTTTTTAATGAATAAAACCCCATAACTTGGAAATGTAAATTCTAAAATTTATAAAAAACAAAAGCGAGCTCATTCAAAACAATTCACCAAAGTATTATGCAAATTGGTTAAAGCGTTTTTGAGTTAATGTCTGACATGTTGACGACAGACGGACGGACGGACAGACAACCGTATACCATAATATGTCCTGTAAACAGGCGTATTAAAATGGGCCCAAAATAATAAATCTTTATTTATACATGTTTTTAGCATATCAATGAACCCCAAAATTTCAATTTTTATATCGGCTGTAACCTTGAGAGGTCATACTGGTGTTGTGTTGCCGCAGAATTTTCTGCAAAATACTACAGGGACTGATGAAATTTTAACGAAAATGTTTCTACTGTTAAGGATGTAGAACAGGATGAAGGCACTAAAGCAGTTAGTCTGAGATTTGCCAGACAAGCTGGGGCCGTAGGTTGTCTGGCAAAACAGCCGTAGGAGGTCATAGTAATAGGAAGATATCGGATTCATGAGTTGTCATGCATTCCTGTTTTTGATATCCAAATGGACGATTTTTTTTATTATCTAAGAAACAAGAAAATTCAAAATTGTTCATGAATATCTATTGCTTTAACTTGACGTCTTTTTTGACAGGTTTCGCTCCGCTGAATTATTTGCACAAACAACATTTTAAGGTCAGTTATGATTAATTTGTCTATTTTTAAAACAATAAACATACGGATTATTTTTGAATTTTTATTTTTTCACAACACAATTTGTTATCAATTCTGTTTGTGTTTGATGCATTTCTTTTCATAAAAAAGAAAATTTTATTTATATTTCAGGGATTAGGTATTTGTTAGGGTCAGCGGGATTTAAAAAGCATGAAATGTCAATTTTATTTTTATTCTGCAAATCAGAAAAATAGGGTCTGCAGATCCATAAATCAACAAATTAAAAAACCCTGGCCTTATACGACACATTTTCTAGGGCCCAGGCCCCATTTGAAAAGGGTAGGAAAATCACTGCATAAGGCATCTATATACAAAGAATGACATTCTTAAATATTAACATTTTAAGTAGTTTGATGCTGCCGCCGCCCCTGGAATATTATCACTATGATGAGTTACAGATCGAGTTTGGTTTTGCTCTGCTGATTTTTTGCTGAAATTACAGGCTATGAAAATGTTGTGAGAATATCAGTTATGCAGACATTCAATCACAAATTTCAACTCCTACAAATGGCTTCAAGAGTTTTTGCCAGCTGCTGTTCCTGTCTTTGTAGCACATCCAGTTTTTGTGAAGCCTGTGACTTAAGCTTGACAAAGGGATAATAATCCAGGGGTGGCAGCATCAAACTTCTTAAAATTTAAAATAAAGACTGCACAGTGTTTTCATTATTATTTCTTCGATACCATTTTTCGTGGATTTCATTGGTACAGATAGATCATGAATTTAAATGTTCAGCCGATTACAAAATTTCCATCAGGTTGAACGTATAATTTAGTTTAGTTTAAACATATTTTATTGTTCAAAAATGACAAATGGATTAGACACAAGTTTTTCAACACAAGGTTGTACGTATGCAGACTAGAACAAAACCAAAAAATTTAATTTTCACGAAAAAATACAAGTTTTCATCAATCCAAAAAAACTGATACCCATGAAAATAAATGAATCCACAGTAACTGTTATTGCTAAAGACAAAAGCCTGAAATTTCTACAAAAATCAGTGGAGCAGACCCAAAAACATAAACTCAATCTGTTAAACATCAAAGTAGACTCACATACTTGAAGCAACTAAATATGTGAAGGTGTTAAGAAAAAAGTCTGTATAACTGTTGTGAAATAATGGATAAAGATAACACTACATGTAAAATCACAAAACTTCATATCATACCCTTAAATCCATTGTCATTATCATCTACATGTACTGCCTCTTCATCTCTTTCCTCATCATCACTCTAAAAATTAAAAAGAAAAAGTTAAGATAATAAAATTGAGAATGGAAATGGGGCATGTGTCAAGGAGACAACAACCCGACCAAAAAGTAGAAAACAGCCGGAATCCACCAATGGGTCTTTAACACAGTGAGAAAATCCCGCACCCAGAGGCGTGCTTGTGTAACAAAAAGTACAAAGTCAATTGAAATCTACAAAGATTATTATAATATTGATAATCAAAGTTGTTAATAATGTGATCCAGACAATTTTAAATGAACATAAACACATGTATGAAAACTATAACATAAAATCATTTCTTTATCAAGGTTTTACTCAAAACAGCATTGTTGAAAGAGTTTTCAAGAATTCATGTGACTTACTTAACTACATGATATTGAATTGTCAACCTCATTGGCTCATTAATCTTTTTAGCCATCTAGGTATTTGTATAGACATCATTTTTTTTCACTATATAAACTCTTGTTACAATAAGGCATACATTGTTTGACAAGAAATTCCATCTGTTGAATTGAACATAAATCATTTTTGTCAAATGTGAGTACACATCACATGCATGGACAGGAACAATATTTTCACTTACTTGTTAATCTTTCAATAACTACAACATTCATAAAATTTTTAATAAATAATTGCCTTTGGACAAAAAAATTGTTCATCTATGCTTACAATTTGTTTTGATTGAAGGAAATTGCAAAGTAAACATTTTAATTGTTGCACACTTTTAATCAGAAGGGATAACACTAATTAACCAGAGATCAAATGATCTGAAAACAGATTGCCAATCATCAAAGGTGATACTTGGGCCATTTACGTATCAATTAAATCTCTTTGGCTAACTCGGCTGTGAATTTTTATGTGCTGGTTTGTTGTTTTATGTATCCGTTTTTATGCTAGAGACTATACTAAATTGAGGTAAATTATATGGCCTTCCAAATACTGTTTCGATTCCTAACATCACTGAAGAGACATTAATTGTCGAAATCCGGATATGGTGTACAAATTTGTGCACTTCATGTTTGCGCTATATCATCTTTTCCGCAAGTTTATTGTTTTCTGTTTGGTAATAAATTAATAATAAGATCTATTTTGTTACATCTTGTGATCCGTTTATTTGGCAATCGCCAATAGCAGTAAGCAGGGTTTAAGAACATCAGTTGTTCGACCTGCTAGTCAAATGCATTTTGTTAAAATATACTTTTTTACTCATTTGGTCTTTTAGAAAATGTTGTTTGTGTTGTATTATTTAGACCCCTCTACCAAGAAATTTGTTTTGCATGCACACGTATAAAAATTGCGGTTTTTATCCAACGCAATCATAGGTTTGAACATTGTTTTCAATTTAGACTTGTTTACAGCTACTATTTGAATATACATTTTAAAGCTCGGCTATTTTATTTATTAACTGGGAATACAATGAAATATACATAATTTTTTCATAACCATTTTGCAAATCCCAGTTTCTACAAACCAGATGTCTAATGCAAATTGCACAAACCAATAGCAATATACATTTAACCACTCAGTTTGCTATATAATCAGGATGCATTTATTTTATCTGTCAAATCTTTATATTTTGTTTCCTGCATGCCGTGGATGCCTTCAAATACTCAACTCATTATTGAAGCTGTATGAACTCATGGTAGATGTTGTACTGATAAACTTAAGACCAATTTCCATTTGAAGTGAAACCCTGTGGCATGCAACTTATAAGAAGGTTTGGTATATTTTTCTAAAGAGTAACACACCAGCTTCATTGTACGGTGTTTATATTTCACAACTCATTCGCTATGCCAGTATCTGTTGTGACGTTTTTGATTTTAACGAACGTAATCTATGTATCACTGGTAAATTATTAAGCCAGGGATTGCGTTACCACAAATTACTTAAAACCTTTACTAAATTCTTCCACAGATATAAAGATTTGGTTCTGAAGTTCGGTTGTACCTGTAGAAAACTTATTTCAAACTGGATTGCACATCCTCATTTTTCACGGCAATATTGTTTACCGTGCCCGGAAATTTAGAAATGATCCTGGTAAACTTATTCTTAAAGGTTACCAATTCAACACTATAATTAGATAATTAAATATTGTTTTTATTGGTACTAATATTGATTTTGTTATCAGTAAATTAAAAGCAAACTAAATATTATTGTTATATACATATACACATTCATGGATCTACAATCTGTTGATACCTGTATCTTGGCATTGCACGAGGTCATGTTTTTCTCTGACTGTTTATGACGTCTTTACACTAAATCCATTGGATGTTGGATGTGTACGGATTGATAATTTAGTCTTAGATGCATGATTTTTTTTATTAATTGTTAGTTGCTTTGAACTAGCTGTCAGTAACTGCGAGTACTCTCAGATCTGTACTTAGGTGTATTTTTGTTGTTTGGATGTACAACTACCCGGCCACGTCCACTTGTATTTGTAGTATTTGTATTTTATCCATCCGATGAGTTAAGCCTCTTTCAACTGATTTTTATAGTTCATTCTTATATTGTACTGTTACACCACTGTCCCAGGTTAGGGGGAGGATTGGGATCCTGCTAACATGTTTAACCCGCCACATTCTATATGTGCCTGTCCCAAGTCAGGAGCCTGTAATTCAGTGGTTGTTGCTGTTGATCATATGCGTAATTTGTTTATTGTTTTGTACAGTTGTTGTAGTGTTTTGTTGCACCACTGACCCAGGATTAGGGAGATGGTTGGGATCTAGCTAACATGTTTAACCCCGCCACATTCTATATGTGCCTGTCCCAAGTCAGCAGCCTGTAATTCAGTGGTTGTCGTTTGTTTATGTGTTACATATTTGTTATTCGTTCATTTTTGTACAGAAATTAGGCCGTTAGTTTTCTCGTTTGAATTGTTTTACATTGTCATTTTGGGGCCTTTTATAGCTGACTGTGCGGTATGGGCTTTGCTCATTGTTGAAGGCCGTACAGTGACCTATAGTTGTTAATTTCTGTGTCATTTGGTCTCTTGTGGAGAGTTGTCTCATTGGTAATCATACCACATCTTCTTTTTTATACAGACATCGCCATCTATGACATTTGAGTGCTTTAAAAATGATGCCTGATCATATCTTACTAGCATGTTTCATTATGCTTCAGACAGAAATCCATTGCCAATATCGTTAAGAAATAGTACAAATATGCTCCGTGTTTAAGGCTGTACCTTGACCTATAATGGTTTACTTTTATAAATTGTAACTTGGATGGAGAGTTGTCTCATTGGCACTCATACCACATCTTCCTATATCTACTTAACTTCTTATCTAGCACAGGCAATCATACAGTTCACTACTACACACAGCTGATTAGTTAGCTACTGCAGCTGATATGTAGGTTAACTACCAGAGATAATTTGCAGTGTGAGAATTTTTACAGCGGTGTAATCAGTACTCTAATCAAATATGAAATTATTAAGCAATTACTGTATAGAAATAAAAAATAAAAAAATGTGGATAGTGTCCACATGTGGACACAGATGATGCCCCCGCTTGCATATCATATAGTTATAAAGGGACATAACTGAAGACCGATAAAAGTGGCGCTACCCAAATTTGAACTTGATCTGAGTTTTGTGGTAATAAGCATTGTGTATCAGTTTCATAACATTTGGTTGAGGCAAACTTAAGTTAGAGAACGGAAACTAAAAATTTTGCAATTTTTCCTTTTATAAAGGGGCATAACTCTAGATCGGTTAAAGTGATGCCACCAAAATTCAAACTTGATCTGTGTTTTGTGGTAATAAGCATTGTGTATAAGTTTCATAACATTTGGTTAAGGCAAACTTAAGTTATAGAACGGAAACTAAATATTTTGCAATTTTTCTTTTTATAAAGGGGCATAACTCTAGATCGGTTAAAGTGACGCCACCAAAATTCAAACTTGATCTGTATTTTGTGGTAATAAGCATTGTGTATAAATTTCATAACATTTGGTTGAGGCAAACTTAAGTTAGAGAACGGAAACTAATTTCGGGACGTATGTACGTACAGTCCGTGTAACGTAAAAGTTAACAATACGAACGATGCCCGAATCATGTACGGACGATGCCCGAACGATGTACGTACGCTTCCCGAACGGTGTACGAATGCAAACGAAACGCTGACCGAACGTTGTACGGACGCTGAACGAATGATGTACGAACGAAACCATGTCCCATAAACCTTACCATAAACGATAAAATAAGCGCCCTTTTATCGTACATCGTATGTTTTTGCGTACATCGTTTCATTTAGCGTATACCGTATCGTTTAGCGTACATCGTTTCGTTAAGCGTATATCGTATCGTATTGTATCGTATAGCGTACATCGTTTCTTGGCGTGCATAGTTTCGTTAAGCGAATATGTTTGTTTGTTTTTTTTTAAATATAAAACATGAATGGCGTTCTGTTAAATATTTTTATATAGGTGATAATAGGCGTAAAATTTAGATTGGATGCATGTTTCAGTTTTTAATTAATAATTTAATAAATTATAACTCGATGTTAATCCAAAACTATTTACATAAAAAGTTTGAAAAATAAACACTGAATTAAATTTAAATAAATTAAAAGATACGATTATGAATTTTGTTAGCCGTAGAAAATGTGCGAGTAAACTGCAATCTGCAGGGTATTCAGTCACACTTTTTTGAAAAAAACTTAAGGTATTAACATTTTTTTTTTATTACCTAAATGAACAATTTATTTTAGATGGAATTTGGAATAAATCTAATGTTCTTACAAAAGTATAATTGGGGTCTTAAAGTGTTGACCTTTTGTCCAAAAGGTTTGTTAAATATTGTTATGTATTTTAAAATCGACTGAATAGCAGTTTTATCTATATATCGTAATTAAAAAAAAATTAGATTATAGATTTTTTTTTATTCATTTATCAAATCAGTCGAAAAAAAAACAAGTATTCGAGAAATTTCAAATAAGAACAATAGTCGTTATGTGCCTCATCAACCCTAAACAAAAAATCCCTACCAATGTACATACGAT